GGAAGATGCATCAGGAAGTGAACAGTTTGGGTGTAACTCTGTGGATCCAGCGCCATCTACTCTTGTGTGGGGCTCAACAGGCAGCCCTAATCTGCTTACGTAATGAAGCTTAAGTTAGCATCCTGAAAAGCCATCTGGGTTTTTGACATCTGTAGATTTACTTAAAATTAGTTTTCTAGCTGGATTTCTTAGCAAAATAGTTCTAAGGTCATGGATCCGCTTATATTCCAACAGGGATGGATGATTTGCGTTATTAAGCAGCTTCTGCTTGAAATTACAGTGTCTTGTACAAGTTCTAGGAGGAGAATTAATGTAGTTAAAGGAATGGATTAGAACRAATTGTGCTGGCATTTATATTTAAAATAAGAAAAAATATAATTTCTTCATAGGCACAATGGTCTTTGCTAATTGAAGAGAGGACAAACATGGGTTTTCCTTGAATTAGCAAACATGGACTCCTGATTTCCATATTTTTACCTTCAAGGATTGCTCACTGCCCCACATCACTACAGCCAGGGTAGGGACCAAGAGGAGAGGTATCTTAGAAATTTTGGAGAGTGAAAGTCCATGGCAGGTGTCACAAAATGTCTTCTCATCAGTTAAATCCAATGAAAGTTCATGGAAAGATTTCCATTCAGTTGGCTCCTGTCAGTTCTGTGGAGTTTTGACTCTGATACAGTTTCAGAGATGGATTTTCAGAGGGTCCTTCCCCAGGTAAAAGCCAAAGCCATGGCTGTGGTGCCAGATGTCCCAATCCAAGTGGTTCTGTTCTTCTCAGTGCCACTGCTGCTGCCATGGAGCTCCAGCTGCAGATTTTTTCTGGCTCCAGAGTCGGGGCTGGCTGCAGCTGATCCACCTGAGAGCAGGCTCCAGAACTCACCTGGAGCATAAGAATTCCCTCTCCAAATCTCCCAAAATAATTTCATTCCCATTTTCCCAAAAGCATTTAATTTGAAACTTTGAGGACCAATAAAATTGACATCTGGCTTTGCRATGGAACATGGCATCTCCCCTGCAGCTGCTTAGCCATAATTATTTATTTAGAAGCTGCCAACTGTGTCTGTGTAAGCATTAATCCATCAAGCTGTTGTGAGCAGGTTAATGGGCCTGAACCTGGGAGGTGTCTAACACAACTGGGGAGGCAGAGGCAGAGATGGTCTTTGCAGGGCTGCTCAGGAACTCTTGTGAAAGGCCTGAGAATCTTCCCAGGTGGAAAAGRATGATTGGTTCCAAAGAAGGAAGAATACAGGGAGGAATGGTGTTTGGATACACAAAATATACTGTATGCTCCAAACACCACTAGGAGGGTAAATGCCTGTGGTTGGCACGAAGATAAAGAAYATTTTTCATGTGCAAATCCATCTGAAAGTGGCTCAGTGGGACYGGAGGGGGTGTGAGCTGTGCATCTCTCACACGGGTACAGAGAATTCACACCCAGCCCTGWCAGAATGGACAAGGGACAAGGGAAATACTGACAGCCACACCCAGCCATGGGACGGGGGAATTTGTCAGATGCTTCTGCCCTCAGTTTAACCCAAATGTTAGCCCACAGCACACAGGTGGAGGGGTTGGGAAGTGCTCCTTCAAGCTCACTAACAGCAGGGAACAGGGGTGGGGACAGATGTCTGTCCCTGCCCCTCCAAAGKCTGTGCCTCCAAATTTGAGCAGAAAATCAGGACAGTGGGTGTGATTTGGTGGAGCCTTTCCTTGCACTGGCTCCTTCACAGCTGCATGTGGGGAGCAGCTCAGGCACCGACAGATGTKCAAAGGGAACTGTGAGAGTTCCTGGTGCTGCAGCTCTGAAAGACAAAAAGGAATGGATGCTCCTGCTCCTGCAGGACCTSTGCTGGTTCAGCTCACCCTGTGGATGTTGGTGCCTCCCCTTGCTCTGTGCAGAAGGAGTGCCTGGGTGTGCCTTGCAGCTGCTGCAGGAGGCTGATGTGCAGAAATGTTTGTGAGGGAGGCTTCAGAGTGTCCTGGGATAGAGAGATGAGTCCTCCTGGGTGGGTGATGTGCAGGAGGAATGTCAGGTGATTCTCCCTGATGTCCATTGGACACAATTCCCTGGGATAATCCTGGTGTCTGTTATACAAGAGGATCCATTTGGGATTGCTGCAGCCAGCTGGGGCCTGTCACCGTGCAYGTGTGACTGAGCTAAAGGATCCCATACTGATGTGCCTACCACTGACTCAKAAACTCATTGTGTGGCAGAAATTTGACTCACAAAACGGAGCACTCTCACACAGTGACACCCACAGCTGTGCTGTCAAAYGGGCAAGATGTGGGAGAGGAACATCACCCAGGTCTCTTTAAACTGATACTGTCACATGATCCACTCGCTGCTTCTGTCTGGTTTTAAATCAGTGAAGATCAAAATGACCCCAAAGCGAGCAAAATGAAGTCTAATCCAATGAATAATGCAARCTTCTTCCCTGCTGACAGGAGATGTTTCTGTTTCCAGGTAATTATTGTCATCATCGATGCCTCTGGTCCCTCTTGGCACAGCAAACCCTCTCACCAGGATGCTCATCTGCAGCTGGTGGGGCTGTAGCCAGCCAGCTCTGGCATTATTTTCATGGCTGGAGGACCTTGCTCTGGGATTTTTCGCTCTCCCAGTTTGTCAGGACAGACTGAAAAACCTGCAGAGCTGTTGATTAGAGTTACTCCATAGATGAGAAATGCTGTTATTTATTGGAAACCATTTGTGTCAAATCTGATTGTGAGGTTAAGCCAAGAATCTGCTGCTCAGTGAGTAAGTGAAACAAAACTCGGTTAAAAGAGCTGATTGGATTTAGGGCTGGGAGTTCATTCAGCAATGTATGAAAAGTGATGCTGAGGAAGCAGCAAGGATGGCTTTGAGTCCTGGCCTTTGTCCCTCCCTGGTATTCACTCACAGCTAGTGATCCCCTGTCCCTTGGGGATGATCTGTATGGACTGCAATGTTCCTGACAGATGTGAGCAGCACTGGACAGATGTGAGCAGCACTGGACAGATGTGAGCAGCACGGGACAGATGTGAGCAGCACTGGACAGATGTGCTGCTGCTGCTCCAGGTACCTGGAGTGGATGGGAGCCCTCCCTTTGCCACAGCAGCCAGGCAAGGACACGCCTTGTCCCTGTGTCCTGTGTCCGTGCTGCTCTCTGCGGGGGAAGGACGGGATAAATCAGCTCTGCCTGCAGAGGTGCTGAGCACATGGCCTGCAGTTTGTGATTTGCCTCTCTGCCCAAGCTGCCAGGAGGGCAGAGTGCCAGGGGCAGTTTAACCCAAATGTTACCTGTGGGTTTGGCAGTGGGCACACCATGTAGGCACATCCCGTGGGCACATCCCGTGGGCACATTCTGTGGGTACATCCCATGGACACATCCTGTGGTCTCTCCTCGCTGTCCCCAGCCGTCACAGCCTC